ATTAAAGAAGAATATGATTAAAGAAGAATATGATTAAAGAAGAATATGATTAAAGTGGAATATAATTAAAAGTAGAATATAATTAACAAGTGTATAATTTAAAAGAAAAATGTTAAATTCTCATATATTCCCATAAAATGAATAGACGCCTGATTTGGTAATATATTGGATTGACTTTAAAACTTTTGGGAAACCATCAATTTCGGCTTTTTCGATGTTAATGCCGCTTGCTGAGTATCCCTTTGCCATAAAATTTGTTGTTATGATGATATCACATGCATGATAATTGAATTCAGGTGCAATTGCAGCACTTCCATTTAATATCATAGAATCTTTGCTTTCAGGATCAATATCCCATTTTACTATTCTTTGTGTGAGATCATACGTGATGGTCCCACCTTCACATGCCATAGATGGGGGTGATACACCTTCTGGTAATTCAAAATACACGTTTATTTTTTTTGGTTTTGGAAGAACATCATCTAATCGTACAACTACTTCAAAAATCACATTAATTTTTGACCAAGTGAATTTGGGTGAAATAAAAATAGGTAAATTTGTAATTTGTGGTTTTGCTAAGTATGTCATTAATGTGAATCCTCCATTTGGTGGGATAAAACGGAATTTTTTCGATTGAAATTGAGAAGGATCAACACATCGATGAAGCGAATAGTCTTCAAGCATATGTGGTGAAGAAATTGATACTGACACGAAAGGATACCCAGATAATTTCGTCACAATATTTAGCATTCCATGTAACACTAACAAATCTGCTTTTCCTTTAGAATTTATGCGCACTTCTAATGTCTCAACTACATCAAGATAAAACTCACCTTGTCCTTTGTAGTCTTCCTCAGCCCTCCATGGACAATTTGCATTGCTGATTAATTTCACTTGACTATTATTATCTAAAGTTGATAAGATAGTCGAGGATTCTTCAATAAAAGGAACTCCATTATTTAAATACATATCAAGAATTTGATAAATTAAAGGGTAATCAGCTTTAACTGAAGATTCATTGAATCCATCTTTCAAAATATTATGTAATATTCCCGAAATATTTTTGATTATAACAGAAGCAATTGACGTGTTTGAAGTATCACATACACCTACGATATAAATATCGGTATTACGTGTTAAAATAAAAACATTACCCAAAGATTCAATTATCTGAGGTGGATTTATGCAATTCTTAATTTCAGAACAGACAGGTTCAAGTTCTCTTCTTAAGATCTTTTCATGATTGTATTTTTCGATTAAAACTTCACCATGCAAATTGATGATGTAAATACATTTGATCATATTTTGAAATAAAATCAATTTGATGTCAAACTGCCCAGGTTATTTGTTTTCAACATTCTTATGCTTAGAGATCGATATTTTTGTCGATTAACACAGCGTTAATGGCCCAATGGATAAGGCGCCTCCCTTCGGAGGAGGAGATTCCAGGTTCGAGTCCTGGTTAACGCGATTTTTTTTTTTTTTTTTGTACATTTAACAAATCATTACAATGAAGTTGTTTTTCCAAAATTAATAAGTTAATTTAATCAATATCATTTCTTACATGAAAAGGGAGTATTCATTGAATAGTTTTATTTGTCTCTATTTCATTATATTTAGTAGTTTTTCAAATAGTGTTATCTGATTTTCTGAAGAATGTTTTTTATCTTTGTGTTTTTGGCTTGAAAAGGTAGATAGTCATTTCATTAGAGTTTTAATATGTGAAAATGGTCTTTTCTTTTTGGAAGACTGGCAATAATGATGTTCCATATTTTGAAGTATTTCGCAAATATATAACAGTAGGAGATGAGTTATATGGCCCACTATTGACAAATCGTCATTAATGTAGTATGAAATTGTATGTATTTAATCGCAGAAGTTCCATCGTCAAGAATTAGAACAAATTTGTTTTCGCCTTTTCTTTTGTTGGTGAGAATTGAACAAAACCTGTCTTTCTCTTCTATTCATTGCTGTTGCATTTGTGTACGGGTGTCCAATACAAATAAATTGAGTAATCAATCGCAAATAGTCCTTCAGATGATTTTTATTCTGTAAGTTTCTTTTCGAGTAAGTAAATAATTATCTTCATTTCCACTTTATTATGAAATAACATTATGTGAAAAGAAAATATCGATGTACGCAAGAATTCCATGATTTCGAGATCATAATTCCCCAATAAGAAGACATTTCATTCTTCAAATTTCATTTGAAGAATGATTGGTGATGAGAGAAGCGATTCTTATATTGATGTTGAAGAAATCCATTTGTGCTCAAATGTCATCAAACATGAAGACGCATGATGAGATGATAATAATTTGGTATTTCACTAAAAGAGTGTTAAATTTGCAGGAAGACCAGAGATAATTGACATATAATAAATAAAGGACATAATGAAGAGAAGAATCACTTCTGATATTCCCAATAATGTCAATTTATTATAAACTGTATTTTTCAAGGATATAACAACTCATGGTGTGATTGTGCTAAGATTATCTTATTTAAATACAACATAGGTTTTAAACTGAGTTGCATAAGATAAGATTAACTACTCAAATTTGATAATCGACAATGAAAAATCCATATTTTGATCCATCATTGTGAAATGATTATTAACAAAAATGATCATCAATGAAAAAAGAAAAAAAAATGGATGATAGGGGAGTTATAGTTTATTACATCGTGTGTGGGGGTAGAACGAATGAGTGAAAAGGGATCAAAATGCAAAAATGGGGGTAGGATAATAATTATAAATATCCTCATGGATATTAAGGTCATAAGTCAATTTTGATCAAACTAGCAAGAATTACAGTACTGAACAATCTCATAAATGCACATCATTTAGATTCATTTCTCTTCGTCTTCCTCATCAAAGCGTTCGTACTTCACTACACTTTTTCTACTTTTGTCAAAATCAAAATATCTACTAATAAGGATGACTAAATATTCGTACGAAACATTAGAGTCAGAACTAGCAGATAAAATAGAGGTCATAGACGGATGGAAGGGGAGTAAGAGGAACTTATTATTACGTGCTTGAGGTTGGAAACATCGGTGAGACATGAGTTTCGCCGACATGTGACCCTTAAGGACCATCTTGTGGAATATCGCCCCATGTACGAATGTTGCTAGTAGTGGTTTTAGTAATGATTGTAAGTTGCAGGATTTGTATATATATAAGCATCAGAGTATAAGAAAGTAAATGTTGCGTTGTGACTATAGTATGGAGGTGAGGAGGAGAACTATTAAAGGTGAGGGAGTACGTAATTTAATAGTTGTCGCTATTTCTCCTGGAGGTAATAGTCCTGAATGTAAGTTGAATAATTCGAAGGTGCGGTACGGAGGCCACCATACGTGGAAGTGGTTTGGATCTTGGAAGTAAGTATGTTTGTGATCTGATTATTAATGTTAATTACCTAAGATAAAGGTTAAATTGAAGGTGAAATATAAAAATGTGTTGGAGGGAATGATGGCAATAATACTCGAACCTTAAAGTAGATATATGAATTTCGTGTGGATGTAAGGTTGGAGGATTATGTCGCCTCGAGTTACGCTGAAGCAGCACATTCTGAATACGCGGCTGAGCTGAGATACATACACTCAAAATCATTGGCGATCGAATTTAGAGGTTAAAATGGAGGTCAATTATAATTTAATGTATGATCCGAGTTGATTGATATCAAGAGGGTATTGGTCTTAGAGAATTGGTGTTTGGGCATTTATGGTTGGAAAGCAGATTTATTTGGATAGTTAAGAATAGGTAAAATTATGAAAGGGAATAAAAGATTGAATAATTGTGGTCGGAATANCTGAGGTTGAGTGATAGTGAATAGGAGTATAGAAAAAGAGGGGTGTCGATTGGTGAATAGTGCTTGAAGAGTGGAGATTGACGAAAAGTGATGGAAGAGTATGGATTGGTGGATAATGGTAGAAAAGTAGTGATTGAAGGAAGATGAATGAATGGTAGCGATTGGGGAATGGTGATTGATGAGTAGTGATTGAAGAATGATGATTGTAGCATAGTGATGGAAGANTGGTAAATAGGTGAATAGTGATTGAAGAGTAGTGGTAGGAGGATGAAGATTGAAGAATAGCGGTAAGGGTTGCGGATGAAGAATTGAGAGTTGAAACCTGTGGAAGAACACATGAGGATAAAGAGCTGTGATTAATGAAGTGTGGACAAGGAACTGCAATTGAGGAAATGTAATTGAAAAATTGTGTTTGAGAATAAGTGTTTACCAAAGATGTGATNGAAAACGTATAAACAAATTGGCAGAATTGGGAGTGGGATTGGTCTTAAAAACTTTCGTCTAGCGTGTCGTCATGGTNAGGCTCGTTCTCTGAGAAAATAAGGCTGTCTCCTAAAGGAGAGTGATATGAAAATTCNTTGTTGGTCGAATTTGGGGAGGTGTCGTTGCTGAAAGAATTGATGTCGTTAAAGTAGGAAGTGTCTGTCTCAAGGGATGAATTATTATCTAGCGTGTCAGTGTGTGAAGAATTATTTGTTTGATCTTCCTCTTCACTATCAATTCTTGAGTCATTATTTATGTCATTAAGTGGGTAAGAGTTGAAAGCAGCGTTTTCAAGTGTATCTACGTTCTGAATGTTTGAGTTGATTTCATTATTGGTGCTGTTACGATTTTGATTGGCTCTGGAGAATGATTTCCATATTTCCATTGATCCTTTAATTGNTTCTAAGGAGATTTTGTTCAGTAATTTTCTGAGNGTGTTTTTGTGCCTGAAGGTACGTTTCAGGTCTGTTATCGAGTTTTTGTAAACAGCTCCTAATGAAGAAACAATTACAACATCCAGGTCGGTTCTTATGCCATTGTCTTTCATGAATGCGATTAGTTCTCTATATTTGTTTCTCTTGTTTAGGTATGTGGTTTCCAATGTATCTATGTTCCAATTTCTTTTGGCATATGGTACACTGATTTCGATTAGTCTGCAGTAGGATTTATCTACCGACCAACAAATAATGTCAGGGCGTAAGTGTATGATTTCATTTGGCATGTTGTCTATCATTAATGTACGGTTTGTCCAGATTTCGTTGTAGTCTGTGTTGTTTNGTATAAAGTCTATTAGTATTCTTTGGACGGCATCATGTCTTTTAGTGTAATCTCTGTAGTAAGTNATGCAATTGTTTAAAATGTGAGCAAGGCTTCTTATACATTCTTTACCATTTCTCCTGCAATGAGGGCAGTGACCATGAGTTCTGTTGTTGATTATTTCGTATATGTCTGGTGTAGGAAGATTGTTTGTTCTACTTGATAATATGAATTTGAACAAGTAGTTGGATATTGGATATTTCTGTCTAATGTAAATATAGGACGCGTAAGGGCTATTACTAAGGGCATAACAAGAGTGAAGGTGAAGAGAATCTGTGTCAATGAGTTTGCTCCATCTGCAGCGTCTTTGGTGAGAAAGGAATTGAGCTATTAAATCCATCGAATTGAATTCAATGGACTTGTTTGTTTTCGTGTCTTCCAAGATAAATGTAAGGTTGTCTAAGGAGATAAAGTTTTCCATATTCCTTGTTCTTAGTGAGTTTACAGAGACGAGGATTGTGTTTTGTTCGTGTTGTGAAACCATGTTATTGGCTTCAAGTGTACTCGGGCTGTTCAGAGTAGTCTGTGCTGCGTCTGAATCTAGATTTATGTCGTTGAATTTAACTTTGAGAATTAAGTTGAGAGGGATGCATGCTTTTCTAGCTCTGAATGTAATGGAATTGGTTCCCCAGTGAGGCGAAGTGTCTGATTCAGAGTCCCAATTAAGGAATGACTGTTGTGGTTGGTTATTAAATCTGAGTGGGATATTCCTTAGGATTCTTTCATCATGTAGGCTTTTGTTAATGAGAATACGAATTTTCATGTTCTTGTTACAAAGTAATCGTAGGAATAGTTTGAGAATGCCTGTCTGAGACATTTCTTTGATTGATGGAATGGACAGGCCTCCGTCTTTCCAAGAAGCATGAATGATTGGATTAGGTAAGAAGATATCTGTGAATGTTTTTACGACTTTAGATATTTCTCTATCCATNATTTCCACGTGTTTTACTTTTAATTGTGAGTTTTCTAATGCGAAGTTAAGTCTCGGTATTAGAAAGACTTTGATAGCNTGTAATTTTTGAACATTTAGGAGGTTGGATTCTTTAATCTTTTGTAATTTGGATAAGAAGTCTAATAAATAGTCGTGCGATGTTTTAAGCTTGTTAACTTTATTAGCAGTTGTAGGGGAGCCTAGGTATCTAAAGGAATCATTTAAATCTTGAAGTGGGATTTGGACACCATCAATTACAAAAGGTTCGTCTAGCGAGGTACGTCTTCGGTTTTTATACACGTAAGCATAGGTATTCGATTTTAGAGGAGCTAGTTTCATTCCTGTNATTTTGCAGAAAGTGCTGCAAGTGTCGAGTAAGTTTTGCATGCCTTGGCGGGAGTCGGAAATGAGTAAGATGTCATCAGCATAAGCAA